ATATATATATATATATATATATATATATATATATATATATATATATATATATATATATATATATATATATATATATATATATATATATATATAAATTTTTTTTTTTTTTTTTTTTGCATGTATGTTTACAACAGTTATACAACTTATATACCCTGTTATCAGTCTGCTTTACATGTTTCAGTGTTTGCACTGTCTGACTTGAGCCAGCAGGGGGCAGGATGCCCACAGAAATGCGATGAAACAGATCATTAAACAGAAGAGGATCTGCTGCCACGTCTAATTTAAACATCTGAAGCTAGTTTCTGTTTTTTATCTATTTATTTTTTAACGCTACCTTTTTTTTCTTAATATCTTGTTTTTCTCCAGCTGTTTTTTTAATGAAAGTTTGCTTTAAAAAAAGTTTTAATAGGTTGAAGTTTTAAACAGAATGCACCATTCATTCATTCATTCATTCATTTTCTTTCGGCTTAGTTCCCTATTTTACAGGGGTCGCCACAGCGGAATTAACCGGCAACTATTCCAGCTTTTGTTTTACGCAGTGGACGCCCTTCAAACCGCAACCCAGTACTGGGAAACACCCTCACACACTCACATTCACACACATTCACTAAGGCCAACTTAGTTAATTCAGTTCCACTACAGCGCATGTGTTTGGACTGTGGGGGAAACTGTAGAAGCACAGGGAGAACATGCAAACTCCACACAGAAATGCCAACTAACCCAGCCGAGGCTCGAACCAGTGACCTTCTTGCTGTGAGGTCACAGTGCTAACCTCTAAGCCACCGTGCCACCCTAACGTACCAATTATTTCTATTTAGTTGTTATTTATTAGTTTATTAGTTTGATGTCTAGACTACAGATGATCTTGCAAATTAGATGATGAATATTAGTTATGCATGTAAAAAGCCCAATATCTTACCATAAACCCAGCCAATGCAGATGGACTCAAATATGGCCACAAACAAAAGACACATGCCACTGGCTGCATACGAGTCAAACAGCTGGAACACGTACATGCCACCCTGCGGACACAAAACACACACACAATCAGATACAAACACAACACCACAGTCTGATGCACTGACAGCTCTCCATTCAGGCTTATTACAGGATCAAATGTTCTTGTTGTGATTAATGGCTGAAGCTTTTATCATCATATATTTTGTGGGATTATCACAATATTTAACAGTACTTTAACAGGTTCAAAAACACTAGTGTATTTTGGTTAATAACTGTACACAATTTCAATAAACCTCTGACCAACACGAGCATCACAATAAAGCATATTTTGGCATTATTGAGCAGCCATAACTACTGGCATATTGACACAAGCAAAGCTTTCAAAGCCTCTTCATCTCCTCTCCTCCTAGTAACAGAGACTGTCTGTCGTTCTTCAGTTGGGTGGGTTTATTCATGAAACATGGAGTGAAAGTGTTCACCTGACTGCACATTACTGTTGGAGAGCTGAACACAGGCCTATTTTTACCCTTAGACCAGTCATAAACACATGCAGGAGTGGCGGTATCATGTTAGGTGAAACAGTAGAACTCTACAGCAAAAACACCTAAAAAAAAACAACCACTACAATAACACCAACACTACAGGAATATACACCAATACTACAACCAAAAACACCATTGCTACAAGCTAAAAACACCATTAGTACAACCAAAAACACTATCACTACAGCCAAAAACACCATCCCCACAGCCAAAAATACCATCACTACAACCAAAAGCACCATCACTACAGCCAAAACACCAT